CTAGAAACAGCCTTAAAGTTAACAGAAAGTGTGAGTCACTATGTGGCTGAGTTCAAACTCCAGTTTCAGTATCCTCTAACACAGAGCAATGCAGAGGAGCCCACAGGGGCACTTTCTCTGTCATAAATTTAACAAAATAGTTGTATGAAATATTTTTTCATCTCATTATGCTCTTTCCCATGCATTTTACAGAACTAAATAGGGCATTTAAAATGTCTGCATCTTATCTAAGCCTACTGCAGAGCTTTTTAACTAGTTGCCACACACGGGTCATACCTGTGTCAAGACAGATTCCCTCAGGGGCACCAGGCAGGTCTCGGGTAACTGGGGCACTGGGCAGGTCTCCTGGGGGCCACACACAGCTTTGTCCTTTACCGAGCTGTGCAAATGGTATTTTGTCGGCTGTGCTATGTGAGAGGAGGATCGAGAAGCAGAGTTCAGGAGACTGTTGCTCAGAAGGAACAGTGCAGCGACGATTGAGTGATAAAAACAACTTAGACTCTGCTTGTTTCATGGGGTAGCCTGCATGGTAGAAAGGACATGGGCCTGGACATTAGGAGACCAGAGTTCTTACTGGCAAATTTTGTGATCTTGCCCTCTCTGGATCTCTTCTTTCCTACCTGCAATGTGGGGAGATCTCCAGGGTCATCTCTCGGTTCTTGCCAGTCTTGTTCTTTGACCATCCATGCAAGTTTCTCCATGATGAACACCATGCTAGGTCCACAGTACAAAGAACTGCAATAGGCAGCAAGAACTTACTGGATGTCCCTGGGGGGTGGTCCCACTAGAGAAGGAGGGGAGGAGTAACTCCAGATAGGGAGAATGGCTCCTGCAAGGACCCCAAGTTGACATGCCCTTGGTGTTGGGCAGATAGAGCAATAGACCAATAAAGACTGGGTGTGGAAGTTGATGAAGGGAAAGTCGGACACAAAGTTGGAGAGATGATGGGGGGTTAGAGTATTATGTAGGCAAATTGGACTTGATCCTAGGGTTAGTAGATGTGTGTGAACAGGGGAGTATCATGTACAAAATCCCATCTTGTCCTCTGGTCAAATTTCTGCTTGGCCTTTTGGGTTTTGCTCCAACCGCATGTGGAAGTCTTCCTCAGTCAAATATTTCTGGGTGCAATTAGTTGTTTAATGTCTTTCTCCGACATGGGCCTGTAAACTCCAAGGATGGGAACTTCTTTTAACCACTATACCCCAGCATCTTGCCCGTAATAAATGCTCAATAAATATTTGTTGGACAAAGGGAGAGAGAGCTCTTGCTCCATAGTTATACCTCTTTGCTTTAAAAAAATTTGTTTTGTTACTCATGGTGGGAAATCTCTGCACCTTCTGCTCAATTTTGCAGTGAACCTAAAACTTCTCTAAAAAAAAGTGAAATCTATGTTAAACATTCTAATTGTTCAGAATTGGATTAATCATAATCCTTGGTTCATGATACACTGTCCTCTTTGGTCCATGTATGGCCCTGTCTTTATTTATTTATTTTTATATAAAATGTATGTATGAATATAAAGGACATCAGTGAGACTGTGGCCTCACTAAAAACCCAGAGCATTACCCCTTAACCACATTTATCTGTGTACTTCCAACTCTCCCATCTCTGGACCTGGGTAACCAGCACTCGTAAATATTGTTTATCATTATCTTATGGGTTTATTATTGGTTTTTAGGATTATCAGACATATATATATAACCAAACAATATATTATACACTTCTGCCTTTTGGAACTTTATAAAAAAGTATAACATATTTCTTCTTACACTTGTTTTCTTTTCTTCACATTATGCTCTTAATATTCATCCATAGTGTCACATGGAGCTGAAGGTCATCCATGTTCACTGTTTGGAATACCACAGTTTATTCTTTTTCCTATTGGTACATATTTGGGTTGTTTCCATTTTTTGGCAATTACATGGTTTCTGCGAGTGTTCTTAGACTCATGTCCTGGTGCACATATGCTTCCGTATTGCAGGCAGTTTTTCTCAGCTTTGACACTAGTGACACTTTGGACCAAGCCCTTCTTTGTTGTGGGGGGCTGTCTTTTGCCTTATAGGTCATGACATCTAAGGCTGCTAGGTGACAGTAGCACCCCTTCCTTAGGTTTGACAACCAAAAATGTCTCCCAGGGGGACAGAATCACCCAGGTTCAGAACCACTGCCTTCGGGCAATGCCACTTCTAGGGGATATGAATCAGGTTCATAATATGAATGTTTAACTTTACAAGATAGCACCAATTATTTTGCCAAATGACATGAAATTTGGGAAAGTTAAGTTGTCTTTGAAGGAAACTGACTCTTGCAGAATTGGTCAGATGGTGGGCCTCTTGCTTTTCCAATGTAAAAGGTGTGACCTCCATGGAGTTTGGGACTGTTTGTGGTAAAAAGGAAAATACCTGATGAGTTCAGAACAGACCTGTGCCCTGGAGTAACTCTTTATCATTAAAAACAAGTGAAACACCCCTAGAGATATTTGAGAGCCACATGTCAAAGACCCCAGAATTCTGTAGCACAAATATAAACAAAATTAAGTTATACTTTAAGAGAAAATTCAATTAGGGAAAAAGTAAGTTATTTGAACTAATTCTTCAGTCTTAAGTATTATCACATAAAACATCATTCTGTTTGACTAATTTCATCATAGGATGAAACTAAATAAAATCAAGCACAGAAAGTCCTATGCTCTTCAAGAGGGTATTTCCTTCTTCACTGCTTGGTTGTAGGGCAAGGCCAGTGCTTTGACCATAGGGCATCCTGGAAGTGGGCCCTCCCAGGGCATCATTGTGCTGCCTGTCCTTGGTCCTTCCCTTGGTCCTGATAGCACAGCTGTGATACACACAAGACCTGGGAAGATTTATTGCAGGATCAAATGTTGAGCCTAAAGAGGAGCCAGGTTGGGAAGTAGCTCAGGATTGCCCTCTGCAAACATCTGTGGGACAACTACATGCAAGAGAAAGGGCTCAGGAAGACGGAGCTTACACAGGTGGAAGTTATAAAAGGGGGAGCGTTGCTGTCAGTGCTGTGGAATGCTTTGCAGAGTACTGTGTCCTCGTCCTTACTGAATCAAGTAGACCTTTGAGTATCCACTGTTGGGGATGTTAGAGATTTCTTCAGAGGGCCCAAAGGACAGTAATGATAGAGAGAGCTGACAGCTAAAACAAACAGATTTGTTCACTATATGCCACACCTTTTCAAAGTGCTTTACATATTAAGCACTACTCCTAGGAGGCAGGTACTGTTGTTGGGATAAGGAAAGTGGGGCTCAAGGTCAAACACCAGGAAGTGATGGAGTGCAACCCAGGCAGCCTGGCTCTGAACCTCTCCAGATCAAGCAGACTTTGCTTCTACATGACTTCACCACCTGGGGAAGCAAGTGAAATCAAGTCATTTTGGAGGGAGAGGCTCCATGTTTTGTTTTAAAGAGGAGAGACCTATTGGGTGGCAGGATAGAGATCTGTGGGTTCTGGATAGACTAAGCGTAATAACACCTGCAAATTTCTGATCAATCTGAGGGAAGGTGGCCTCAGGCTCCATTGGGCATAGTTTCCAACTGAAAAGTACCTGATTATCATCAACGGCAGATTGGATAACTGGATTGTGGCATATTCATATAAGGGAATTCTGTGTAGCAATGAGAACAAATGATCTTCAAGTGCACATAACAGTGTAGACAAATATCACAAATGTGACAATAAACAAAAGAAGCTGGACACGTAGGATTCCTCTTAGATGGAGAAGAGAAGAAGCAAAGCTTACCTGTGCTACTTGAAGTAGGGGAGGGAAGCAATTGGAAGGGAGCATTAAAGGAGTGCTAGGTCTATGGATGCATCTACTTTAGAAAGTAGAGGAAAAAATAAAAGAAAAAAAAAGAAAGTAGAGAAAGGACACTATGAGAATGCAGAAAAGTTATGGTGGGAGGAGTGGAATGAGAGATTTGGGTGAGTGGGGGCTTGTGGTCAGATTTCCCAAGCGGGCTAGTCCTGTGTCATGGTGAGGAGGACCAGTGTGTGAGGGGCTGAAGAGGAAAAAGGTGAAGGTCACTGAAGCTCAGGAGTCAATTCCTTTGTCAAGGCATGTAGAAGCCCACATGGCCTCAGGTAGGTATTTCATGTGGACAGTAACATAAATCAGGTGTTGACAAAATTTAGAGGCCAAAGGAGGGTAATGATTCAGTTTTAAAGTCTGTACTTGTTCAGCTGCAAGGGCAAAACCCCCGTTCAACTATCTGTAGCAAAAATGAGAATTTATCACCTTCCATTAGTAAGGCAAAAGTACTGGATCCAGGTTTTAAAATTGTCACGGGGGCTGCTCTTTCCCTCTCTCTCTCTCCCCAGCTCTGCTTTTCTTGGGTCAGCCTCACTCACAGGCAGCCTTCTTCCCCTAGAAATGATAGGTGGCTCCAGACTTTGAAGGCACCAGGAGAAACCCAGGGGTGATATGGATTTACTCCACCTAGACCTCACATCTACCCTTGAAGTGGATCAGCCCTCCCTTCCTTCCCCTGCGAATCACATTCACTGAGCATGAGGGAGTGACATGCAAAAACCATAGGTGCCCGTGGAGGTCAGTGCCCTGTGGCCTGACCCTCAGTGGTTTCTACTCAACAGTGGTGCAGTGAAGAGGTGAGGACCCCGCTTGCTGCAGGAGCTGGGCCTCACCACGCACTCCCTGCGTGACTCTGTGTGGAGGAGGAAAACCACAGAAGAGTCCTGCCAAGGCCAGAAGCTGCTCTGAATCCCGGATGGGGTGCAAGGCAGTGGCATCCAGCCAAATCGACAAAGAAATTTGGCCTGTGCTGGGTTATTGCATCTCCACCCCACATTGAAATTTCCCCATCTCAGAACTCTCTTCCTTTCTCCTAACAAATTGAATGTGCTCTTTTCATTTCAGCCAGCTGGAGTTATTTTGCTTCATCTTCCTGTTTGTCTGTAATGCTTATCTCACTTCTCCATCTTGTCTCTGTGTGCATTTCTCTTTTCCTGGCCTCTTCTCAGGGATGAGGAGGAGGAGGAGGAGGAAGAGGAGCAGCCAGTCACGGAGCCCAATTCAGAGGAAGAGAGAGAGGATGATGCCCCCTCTCAGGGCAAGGACAGGTACCAAGGGCTGGACCCTCCCAGGCCCCCACTAAAAGTCCAAGGCTCCCTCCTAATGAATGGTTTGCAGCCACCTCCCTGTCAGTAGTCTCCTCCCTTCCTCACCAGCTCCCACCAGCAAACCTTTACTGACCCTATACACAGAGCCACAGAGTGATTAGTCTGTAGAAATCACAGTGCATGTTTTCATTACAGAACTTTATTTTTCACTCCAATACAGCCTTCCAAACCATGCTTTGTGGAAAACTCCCCCAATTGGTTTTCTTCCCACTGTTCACTCCCTCATTAAGTACTTTGGCTCAGTCAGATTGACAGAAAATTTTTAACCCTTTCAGCACTGTACTAAAAATAATTATGTGTGCTTCCTTCTTCCTACTAATTTTACCAGTACAATATTAGCTAAAGTGTGTGGGTAACTACTGTGTGAATAATGCAAGTTTGTTTTTTATCAAAGTGGACAGGAACACTTGTTATCCACTAGAGGAGTGGTTGGCAAACTGTGGCTCGGCAAACCGTGGCTCGCGAGGCACATGCGGCTCTTTGGCCCCTTGAGTGTGGCTCTTCCACAAAATACCGGCTCTTCCACAAAATACCGACTTCTGCGCGTGGGCCATGAAGTTTCAATCGCACTGTACGTGCATGCCCGCATGTGGTATTTTGTGGAAGAGACACAGTCAAGGGGCCAAAGAGCCGCATGTGGCTCATGAGCCACAGTTTGCCGACCACGGCACTAGAGTATAGAAAAATTTTTCAGTATTTATTTTTATGCCCAGCACAACTAACATAGCTCTAGGGTCCTTTGGAGAGTTTACTGTTCTCTGCTCATCTCTCCAAGGTGTATTCTTTCTGTCTTTAGTCAGTGGTAACAGACATAGGCACCTTGCAGATGTTCTTTTCCTCCACTTAATTGATTATACTGCAAATTGACACTTTTACAGTTAGTTTTTTCCACAAAAAGCAAAATTAAAAGGATCTTGGATGAATTAGGGTAAAATCGTTCTCTTACTAACTTCAAAGTCAATGTGATTCTTTGCTGCTATAGCCTCATTCTCCAGGTCACCAGCACAAATAAAAGTTCTCATATAGGCCCCTTTGACACCCTAAGACTCCCACCATTCTCATGGGTCATGGAATCCTCTCTGAACTGACAAACTAATGATTGCTTCTCCCCTTTGGAAATAACTGGGAAGAAGCCAGCAGGTATGGAGAGAGGAATGGAATGGCCTGGACAGAGAGTGAGCCATACATTTCAGAATGAGAGGGCGAGAAAGGTGGGCATTCATCAGAGCTCCTAGCTCATGCCGAGAGCCCCGCTTGGCGATAGTGACTTTTTAGTTACAGATGCTCTGGGAAGGGAGGAGGTTTAATTGACAGTCCCTTTTGAGGTGAAAAATTAGTTACAGGAAATTATGTAGACCCTCAATAAACACACAGGTATGGCTCCCTATGTGCTGAAATGTGCATGTCATGTGGACAGTAACATAAATCAGGTGTTGACATAAATCAGCTCCCGCGCCACCTCCACCTGTTCCACACCCCCCTCTCCCCCACACACACACACACACATGCCCTTCAACCCTCAGTGACACATAGTTCAGCACCTATGGACCAGATGGAAGAATCTGGCCAGAATGGGTAGCTTTCAAAGGCATCCCTGCTGACATTGTGCTGTCTTTACATAGGATTGTTTGCACAGTAGGTGGTTGTTATCCAACCCTCTGAAGTGTTTTTGACGTCATGCCTGACGCTGGAGGGTGTCCTTGATCAGACACTAGTCATGTTTTTCAGTTTTAGGAAATAAGGTGTGCATATTGAACACCAGGGCTCTATTTAGATAGTACCATAGTGTTAATTCACATCAATCTGCATGCTATTTGTTCCCTGGTGTAAACTTATTAGACTTTAAAATGGTGGGAAGATCCTGCTTACTTCTGTGGGTTTGGTGTCTTCTGCTGCCTCCCCTTCCTGCTGGCTGCTTCTTTGTGTGTGCCCACCAGGCATACCTATCACGTGTGCCTGCTGTGTGTGCCCACCATGCATACCTATCACGTGTGCCTTCTGTGTGTGCCCACCATGCATACCCATCACGTGTGCCTGCTGTGTGTGCCCACCATGCATACCTATCACGTGTGCCCGCTGTGTGAGCCCACCATGTATACCCATCACGTGTGCCTGCTGTGTGAGTCCACCATGCATACCTATCACGTGTGCCTGCTGTGTGAGCCCACCATGCATACCCATCACGTGTGCCTGCTATGTGTGCCCACCATGCATACCTATCACGTGTGCCTGCTGTGTGTGCCCACCATGCATACCTATCACATGTGCCCGCTGTGTGAGCCCACCATGTATACCCATCACGTGTGCCTGCTGTGTGAGTCCACCATGCATACCCATCACATGTGCCTGCTGTGTGAGCCCACCATGTATACCCATCACGTGTGCCTGCTGTGTGTGTCCACCATGCATACCTATCACGTGTGCCTGCTATGTGTGCCCACCACGTGCCAGGCCTGCACTGAGCACATCAGTGTGGTCTCACCTTCCCATCGGGCCAGAGAAACTAGCATGTCCCTGCCTTTATATGTAGATGGAGCTCAGAATTTGAGGTAGGAAAGAAAACAGCCCATATCCCATTCCCAAATGGGCATGGCTGGAGTCAGGTTCTCTGGGAGAGGGGCCATAGCTTTGAAAACTACAGAGTTTAACACAAATTCTTCGAGTTGAGGGGGCCCTGGGAAAGTGTGAAATGGACAAAATGTGCTCTCCGCACGCTAGCCCCTCCTTCCTGCTCTTTGCATTCCTTGCTGGCGTCTCTTTCCCTTTTCTCTCATCCATACATGCTCTCAAGAAAGGATGAAAGGAGTGAGTGAAATATGGGCTGTAGGATGTCACTTCCTCAAGACTAGGCTTTTTAGGAAGGGGCCTGATACTCTGTTTGACCAAGACAAAGCAGTGAGGTTCAAATTATGGTGCCAACACAGCCAGTGGGGAGAAATGTGTGTGGAGAGGAGTGTGGCTGGGGAGACAGGAGAGCATTGACAGAGCAGATGCAGAAGAGCCTTTGGGGTTTCATTAAATCCTCTCCCAAAGGCCTGTATGCCCATAGGCCCAGTGGGTCTTGCCTCCCAGATTGGCAAGCCCAGGGCCCCAGGATTACTGAGCAAACCAAAGTGTCAGTGATGGGCTTTCATGCTGCAGTTCCAGGGGCTCAGCTGGACTCTGAAGTAAGTGGCCATAGCAGTAGTGGGTTTGTACATGCTTTTTCCTCTTTGCTAACTTTTGCTCTCTCTCTCTCTCTCTCTCTCTCCTGAATCTCCTTTCTTCCCTTCCTTCCCTCCCTTCAATTCTTTTCCCTGTGGGGCCAGCAGCCAGGCCAGCCCTGCCTCAGAGCAGAAGCCCACTGGGCAGGAAAGCCCAGCCCCCACCCCTGCCTCCAGCACCACCTCCACCTCCCAGGGAAAGCAGCTTCCAGCCAGCACTGCAGGGGGGAGCCCCTGGGGCAGCGGGTCCTCTGTGCCTGCCCTGCTGCCTCACCCCACCCCTGCCTCTCGGACCTCCACACCTGGCCCCCCGAAGGCATCGCAGACCATAGAAAAGCTGCCCTATGTGCCCCACAGCCCCTTCCATCTCTTCTCCTATGACTTTGAGGATTCACCCTTATCCACCAAGGAAAAGGAAGCCGAGGCCCAGAAGGAAAGCAGGTAGATCAGCCTGTGTGGAGGCCCGCGTGAGATTAACCCGGGGATGGAAGCACAGCCTGTTAACCGCATCGCTTGTCTTGTCTTCTGCTGATTGTGTGGATTTGGTTAGCGCAGAGCGCGGCTGTGGCGTGAACTAACTCCCTGACCACTCCCTAAATATCTACCAGTAGTGAGGCACGATGCACAAGAAAAGTGTCATCTGCTCAAATTAAAGGGCTTGTGTAATAATACAATTATTAAAAGTGGAAATTTTTCCCCTTTTCTTTTTTAAATATATATTTTTATTGATTTCAGAGAGGAAGGGAGAGGGAGAAAAAGATAGAAACATCAATGATGAGAGAGAATCATTGATCGGCTGCCTCCTGCACGCCCTCCACTGGAGATCGAGACCGCAACTTGGACATGTGCCCTGACCCAGAATCACATCTGTGACCTTTGGTTCTTGGGTCAATGCTCAACTGCTGAGCCACACCTGACTGGGCTAAAAATGGGTTTTCAGTGTAAAGTTTGAAACTGTGCATGGTCTGACCTAATCGATGCATCTCACACCCGCCTGTCTGGCTTGGGTCCTTTTGACCTGCAGAATTCAGCAAAGTGCTTAGTCAGCTTCCCATGCAGCGTTTTGAGTGGGGCGCTCTTTCCTTTAACAGTGGCTCTGATTCCCTCCATCTGAGCACGTATTCTGCCTCTGATCCTTACAACTTCCGGTCTTTCTCTTCTAATAGGTAGGTGTCTTTATTTTCTTTCCTTTTTCTATAGCTTTCTTTTAATTCTAAATATGCATTTTTTTTTCTTTCAAAGATTGCTCATAGCCTCCCATGAGATGGCAAACAATTGCAGTTGGAATCACTTCATGGACATTAATGCAATGACATCACTTAAAGTGTGAACACTTCAATAATTCTTATAAAAATTGGAGAGGCGGGCAGGGGGAGAGAGGTGTGTAAGTCAAAACTACACAGGGAATTTTCAGCAGTGCCTGTCAGCTTGCCTGTGTTTCTGCCCTTCACCGATGCCTGGATTGGAAACTGCTGCAGAGCAGGGAATGGGGAACAGAGGGTTGTATATTTTGAGCCATCAATTGTCCAAAATCAGTTATTGCTAACGCTGGTGGCCACTCCCATCTTAGAATAATAATAATCATTGCTAACATTTATTGAGCATTTATTAAGAGCCAGGCCCTGTACTTTCCATAAAACTGGTGCTTTAAAGTATCACTTAACCATTAAGAGGTAGGTTCTATTGCTCGCCCTTATTTACAAAAGAGGAAACTGAGGCACAGAGAGACTGGATAAGTGGAGAGTGGTTTCCACACCAGGCAGCCTGCTCCAAAGCCTGGTCCTAACCTGTACATCATATAGGCCTCTCTCTTAGGCAGTCTGTCCCTCTGTCTCCTTTGTGTACTCATGGACACAACTCCTAATCCCAGGCCCAACCTGGCCATGCCCTGCCTCCAAGGGTCTGTGGATTCCAGTTCAAACATCTCCCAATTACAAATTCCCGACCAGTCTCTTCCAGATTTAACAGTCTTGGATTATTGTCATCTTTCCCACAATGTTTATGGATTGCCTCCAACGTGGCTTGTATGCCCTCTGAGAACAGGATCTCTGTGCAAGTTAAGAGCTGTATGCTTCACTGGAATAAAAATATCTTGGCAACCGCATTTCCCCCAGCAGGGTGGTGTTTGCTCATGATGGTGATCCAGGACTTTCTGGTGATGGTATCACAGCCTCTGATGGGGCTTTCCTGGGACCCAGGTTCCTCAAACTTGGTCTTCAAGCTTCACTACCACTTACAGCCCTTGGGGGAGGGAGCAGTAGAAACATATAAATTGATGACACGAGTATACATGGAAATTGCGAAAAGCAGCCATGCTTGTGAATGAGAACTGACTTAGATTGAACTGAGAAAAGTTTATAATCTTTAAATATTTGACAGGAATTTGAATACTGTCTAAATATTGTTTGTTCCCATTAATTTTCTGATGGTTTTCGTGGATGACTGAAATTAAACAGGTTATACTGGAGACCAACCAGTTAGTCATTGAAAATTAGAAAAATGAAAGAAAACTGAATAGTGAATTGCAGGATCCAGTTAGTTTCTCTGAAATGGAGAAGCAAAACTGGACAGGCTGTGAGGTATTTGAATTAATTGCTCTCCATTAGAAAGACCAAAGGAGGAGGGAAAGCATTTTGCTTGCCTTATTTCCATAGCATCATTTTAACATAATTTTAGTAAAATAATCCTGTTAAAACAGTCCACCCGATGCCCACTTTTGGTCGGAAGGGACTTGTTTTAGTTGCGTAGAATAACCAACCGGGAGTCCAGGCAGCTGGGACCCAGGGTGAAGCCTGAGCTCAGGGCCAGGCCCCCCAAGGACTCAGCTCCAATTGGGGGGCAGCCTCCTTCCCACCACATCGCCCCTTTTGCTGCCTCCTCCCTTCTCTCCCTCTTCTTCGCTCCTGAACTTTTTTCTTCCTTTTCTGCTTCTTCCTATCTTTGTACGTTCTTCCCATCCTTTGCTTTCCTGCCTTCTCTGTGGCCTGTGGTTTGGGCATCTTCTTGAAAAATCAAATCAACACTCAGGGAAGCAGTGGGACATGTAGAGTGTTGGGGTTTTTTAAGAGAAGAGAAAATAAACGCCAGAAACCAAGTCCTGCGAAGGTGGTGTGTGCAATGAGCAGACGATGAAGTAACACTGTGGATCTGGGTCCCCATCTGCCTGGCGGAAGGCCTGGTACTGAGCACAGGCCTCACATGTGGTACCAAATAAGCAAGTACGAGAAACAGCCAGCACACAAGACTTAACAAGGATAGATTTGGGGAAATGGAAATACTTCATTTCTCATTATAATAGTGTAATTTATTAAGAAAAACTAACCGGTTTGGCTCAGTGGATGGAGCGTTGGCCTGCGGACTGAGGGGTCCCAGGTTCGATTCCGGTCAAGGGCATGTACCTTGGTTGTGGGCATATCCCCAGTAGGGGGTGTGCAGGAGGCAGCTGATAGATGTTTCTCTCTCATCGATGTTTCTAACTCTCTATCCCTCTCCCTCCCTCTCTGTAAAAACTCAATAAGATATATTTAAAAAAAAGAAAAACTGACATTCTATCTCTTACACTTTTAAAAATAGATCTGTTTTTTACACTTTTTTTCTACACAAAGTTGTGATCAAACTTAGTGTATATAGTGTATATTACATCTTGATGTTTTAATTCAGCCCACATATATATGTAGATATGAACATTTAGATATAAACATTTCCCATGTTATCACTTACAAAATTGGCAATAACTTCTAATGGTTGCATAATATTCCGTTGATGAGTAATATATCATACTTTCTTACCTATTCTTGCATTGTTAGCTAGTTGGGTAGTTTCCAGTTTTCATTATGATCTCCATAATGTTCCCTGCATGACATTTTTTTGTACATAAATAACCATAAGGGTTATGATAACTCCCCAAAAGTAGACTTACTCTGTCAAAAGATATCTTATTGAGGTCTAATTGCTTCCCAGAATGGTTAATACTGATTTCCGTCGGCAAGAGTTTGGGCTGGACTCAGCACTTACATCATAGTGACCCTTGAGGTCCTAACTATCCAAATACAAATGACCCTTGAGGTCCCATATCCCCAAATACAAGGTCCCTAACTGGTTCAGGGGAAGGAGTGGCTGAGTCGTTTGAGAGGCAAAGTTCTCTGAATCTTGTTATTTGTAATTAATCATGAGTGTCTACCCCAGGCAAGGGCTTCAAATGGTAGTTTGTGTTCTGGGAATTCACTGAGTAAAGATGGCTAAATACAGCCTGCTAAAGGGCATCTATTCTGAAAAACAAAGAAAACTCTAGAATTCTTCAAATCCTGAAACTTATAAAAGATGATTGTGAAATGATGAAAGCTCATTTAAACCTAGTGGCTGTAATGTTATTCCTGGGGAAATATTGAATGAAAACATAGACACTTGCACCTTTTAGCAGCAGGCTAATCCAGAAGCCCCAAGGACATCTTATTCTTCGTCACCAGCCACACAATGAGATTATATCTAATGAATGAAATTGATTCAGAAATACCTAAAGCAGAATTTTTAATCAGATGTTTCTTTAGCCAATCACCTGGCATTTTCTACCAATCTTGAATAGATTTAGTGCTAATTGTACCACTGGAAAGGCAAGAAAACTCTTCATGATTCAAATGAAAATAATTTGGATTCTAATTTATGTTAGCAAATAGTTTGACTGTACATGAGTGCCTTATTAAACCCTTTGTCAGAATCCTGCTGCTTAATGGGTTTGGACTTTGGGAACCATCTCTAATGAGAAAAAAACAAAACAGTTAGTAAAATTTTTTTTTTTTTTGCGTTAGTGCAATCACTGACAGTGTTAGCATTTCCAGACCTGTTTCTCTTGGAAAATTTAAGATAATTTGCGATTCCTTATTTACTGACTTGTACTCATTTCTCTGTCTCCCCTTGCTCCCAACTTAATTCTCTGCACTCTTTAGATACAACAACTTTGGCAACCACTCTTATCACTCTTCAAGACCTTCGTCTGGATCTGCTGTGCCCACCGCTTCTACATCATCTCTTCCAACCCCCCAGGAGCCCAGGCTGGACAGGTGGGTCTTATCTTATAGGGAGCATTCTGATAGCTTCACTGTCTTCATGTAAAGGGGATCCATTTGATGAAGAGTGCCTAACGGAAAAGTGTCAATGAAAGTATAATCTGGAGTATTTTCCTTTCCAGAATATATCCCACAGGCAAGATTGTTTTCTTTCTTTCACACTATTTAGTAAGTAAATATTTTATTGGAGATATTTTGTTATTATTATCTCATCTCCCTACCCACTTTCCATGGAAAGTATAGAACTATTTTTCCAAAACATTTAAATGTAAATGATTTGATTCACCCCTCAAAAGCTGATCTAGATCTAGCGTAAGCTCTGCAATTTGTCTTACGCACATCAATTTTCACCTCTGAATGATTAATTCTGTGTACATCGTTAGTGGGCCCATTAAGGTGTTGTGTAATTAATCCAGGACCTACCAGAAGAGAAAAGAATTGTATGGGTCCAGGGAAGGAATTTAACTTGGCAGGAGTATTAGACCACCAGAAATTACCTTACTCTTACTCCTGATTGCACAAGGATGTGTTCACAAGGCAAGGGTAGGTAGGACCTGTAATTTTAGAACAGTTGAAAACAGTTACCCTTATATGGCAAGAGTGCTGAGTTAGAGAACACTGGCTAGGGCCCCAACTCACTGGAAAGTTATTGCATCCTAAGGGTAAAATGCCAATTCTGCCAACCCTTACCTTAGGCAGTGGTTCTCAACCTTCCTAATGCTGCATCCCTTTAATGTAGTTCCTCATGTTGTGGTGACCCCAACCATAAAATTATTTTCGTTGCTACTTCATAACTGTTATTTTGCTACTGTTATGAATCGTAATGTAAATATCTGATATGCAGGATGTATTTTCATTGTTCGAGACCCACAGGCTTAGAGGGTGGTTTTGATGAACAGATGAAAGGTACAGGTGAAGGTGCTCTGTGAACCCCCTGCCCCTGTGTGGGTCCCATGGGAAGTGACAATGTGTTATGATGGAGTAAATGTCCAGCAGCTCATGATTGGTCAGAAATCTAGACAGGAATGATGCCCTGGGGGTCATTTGCTGCAAATCCTGAATCTTAAACACATTCAATCTGTGTACCGCATTCTGGTCTTCTCCTGTGTATTGGAGGGTGTGTTTGGCCAAGTGCTGCTGGTCATGAGAGATTTGGTCAGGATGTGGAGCAGGCAAGACCTCACAGCCCCGGGAAAAAGGGCTGTCCAATGTGGTTTGCCCAGCCACCCCTCAGTGTTAATTTCTAAGATGCTATATAAGCCCCAGGTTGTCAAACTCTCAGGTTCCACAGCCCAATGTGGCCCTGTCCTGGGCATATTCAGGCTCAATTAGGTCTTGGTAATGAGGTCACAAGGTGATTACCCTGAAGACACCCTCTGTCCTTTACCCTGGGGCACCTCTTCTTGGGGTCAGCTGAGGTTGCCTGTGCTCCCAGAGAGGTCACTAACAAAGAAGATCCTTGTCATATGGGATGGAGGATTTGGGGCCAAAGTGAGGAATATGAAAGTCTGACCCATCTTACAGGAGACATCTCACACCCGTGAGGCTGCCAGCTCCTCGGGAGTGGGCAGCAGGCTCCATTCCGTGCTGTGTCCTCCACAATACCCAACTCTGGCCACGGCAGAGCGGCAGCCAATGCTGGGTAATTGGGTGAATTGCCCACTCATTGGTTGGGGAACTGTTTGGAGGCCCTTGAAGATGAGAAGTTATAAGGACAGGAGGTCTGCAAATTTCCAAAGTCCTGGGCTTAGGGGAAGTTCCTCCCTGGTCCGAAATGTGAAGCCCTGGCCTCCACCTTCTTTCTGACTCCTAGAGACTCAGGTCAGGATTAAGCTGGAAGGTCCAGGGGTGCAGGCTCCTGAAGGACTGCTGTCTGTGTTTTCTTCCCTTTTTGATCTGGCTGAGTGTCTCCTGGGGGAGAAACTAGAGGAGGAAGAGTAGGGCTGGATCCAGGAGCACCTTGATTGTCCTGGAGAGGATGTTGGTCTTCATCCTGAGCCCACAGGGCTGTTCAGGTTTGGAAGTAGCTGGCGATGTCCTCTAACACATCAATGAATGGCACCTAGAGGGGCGAGATTGCCTCCAAGTCCAAGAGAGGTGACCATGACCAAGAAGGCCAGTGACCCAGGGGCTTGCGGGAAGAAGTGAGTTTGGGCAGACTTGGCTGCCACCAGGAGGGTGGGAGCATGGAAAGCAAAGAGAGTGAGGGGTCAGGCTTGCATGTGGGTGTGAGAAGCAAGGAACTGAGACAGAAGATCCTGGAGGAAGAGCAGATGGAGGGTGGAGATGTCCAGCCTGGGACATGCAAGGTGTGAGGCATCTATGACACCCGGGGGAGATGGCTCCTCGGTCCTCAGTGTGAAGAAGGTGCTGGATGAAATCCCTTTGGGAGCCTGTGTGCCGAGACCTGGTCCCTGGGGACAGCAGTGGCAGGAGCCCCTTCCCAGCTGCCTGTTCCCTTTCACAGTGCATTTCTGCACAGGAAATTCAGCACCTTTGCCTTCCACTGGATCCACCAGTGGGTAAAGTAGCTTCAGAGGGTCTATTGCTTCTTTCCATTTGCATGTGTCTTCAACTCTTACTGTCTGTGGCTTTGAAAAACGCTGTGATGAATCATATGAAACATTGGGCATGCATTTTCATTATTAAGATCATGAAACCATCAGGCCTGGCTGCATCATCCCTTCTTACTCTCACCTTGTTGGCTTTTGCTTTGTGACTGTAACAAGAGACAAATAAGAGGGGTTCTCAACTCCAAATCACATTTGTGCTCCATCTCCCAAGCATATTATGCCAGGTGCATTTATGATAATGTGTGTTTCTGTATAGTTTAATGTTTTCTTTTTTCTTTTGGACAACTGAATTCTTTGCATGTCACCCATAATCTATTTTCACATCTGTGAGAATTTTTTTGCCTTATGGAGATCTATGATTGTTTTGACTGAGGTATATTCTTCAGTGGAATGCATAAGATTTATTGTTGAAATGTTTCACATATCCATATTTTATTGAAATCAAAAAGAAAAACTTTTTTCTTAGGAAAGACATTGAACTGTTACGAACAATAGTTGCATTTTTGCGACGAGAACCCACATCTGGCACCACACCCCTGACTACTAACGTGTGCCAGGGCCCCATGCAGTACTCGGGACTCTAGGACTTCATTCCCTTGACTTGGAAAGAAGACTCTCTTCTCAGAAGTCCGGGGAAAACCGGGCCAACTAAAGCAGCCCTTGGGGCAGGCCGGCCGCCTTGGACATGACTCCTGAGCATCAGTCTGCACTTCGAGTTTCCCAGAGTCTCCCCAAGCATGTCAGTGGGTTGGATGTTAATAAAACGTGGAATGATAAACTGACCCAGAAAGGAAGGAACTGAAGAAACAGTATACAAAACTAAGTCAAAACAGGGGAATCAAAACCAATCCTTCTCCACATCTGCTATCACAGCTTCCTTTATAGGGCTCTCTTTTAGAAAGAGAGAGTATAGCATTAGTTTTCATGACATTGAACTTGAATTATGCCGAAACAAAATAGGAAAACCAGATTATTTGCAAAGGCCCTCAGGGATACAAGATACAACTGTGTAATGAAGGCCGACTTTTAAAATGCTTCAATTTTGAAAAACGTACTTTTTGAGTGGAAAAGTTCTAAATGTTTTCTTGTTAAAGGGAAGCATAATTACAGGAATAGTTGAACCATTCACGGTCAAGTATTCAAATGAAACAAGCAAGCAAGCAAACAGTAATCACAGCACATGAATTTGTGGTTTCTGGAAGTTGGGAAAGGCAGATGGCATTCTCTTCCCATCCCTGCGGGGACATCTCCATCTTGTGGGCCTTTGCAGAAATTGGTGGCTGGAATAAAGAGCCTGAGAATGTGTGGGGAAGCTGGGACCAAGGAGCTAAGACTAGGAGCATGAGAGCCTGTGGTGCTGAGTGCTGGCTTCTCCTTCCAGCCCAAACTCCCCCTTGTGGGACCTCACTCCCTGTGACCTGCTTGCACACTGGTGTGGTCACTCCTCCCTCAGATTGATGGTGTCTGTGTCCATGTGTTTCTACCTCTTTTCCGGGATGTTAGCTCTTGGCAGTTCTTACTTGTGTGGCAGGACTGCTGACGATGGCCCTGAGTGAATTTGCTGCTACCTGTGTCTTCATCCCGACTTCCTCCTCCATGTGACTGTCTGTTCTGTGTGTGTTTTGTCTTCCCCTTCTAGTTGACTTTGGCTTTTATCATTTCTTCCTCCACTAGTATCTCCCTGTGCCTTGAGGTTCTACTTGTCTGGTTTTCAGATCATTGCTTTTTTTTCAAATATATGACCCATGTGTTTGTCTGGATCCCAAATACTTGTTGGCTGTGGTCCATCACTTGATCTGCACAGTACTTTTTATTTATTTATTATTTTTAATATATTTTTATTGACTGAAGAAGGGACCCCTCCCCCCCCCGCCCCCCCCCCCCCGCCCCCACTGGGAATCACACTTGCAACCTGGGCATATGCTCTGACTGAGAATTGAACCGTGACCTCCTGGTTCATAGGTCGACGCTCAACCACTGAGCCATGCTGGCTGGGCTACACAGTACTTTTTAAATTTCGTGTCAGTGGAGTCAAGAGCCCCACTGTCCAATGGGGCTGTAGGTAAACTTTTTCTTTTAAATTGATCAAAGTATATTTTTAAAAATCACTGGGAAAAAGCACGGAAGATGGGATAAAATCATGCCTTTTTGTGTGATCACAGTTAATGGTACCCAGTTCACTACTGCCAGCAGGAAATAAAGGCTATCAATGCGGGCGATTTCCTACCGTTCAAAGAAGCCACGAGCCTGTGCTGAGCTGCACAGCAAGCAGGCTCCCCCTTCCCCCCTTTGGCGGCTGCTACTCCCTGATAGCAATCTCGTTACAGACAAGGAGTTCCTGTAAGGCACAATGTGGTCCTGATTAATTGATCGTGTTACATCCAAAGTGCAGAGGAGAAGCACCGGTTAGTTGACAGAGTGAGTTTACAATAGGGTCTGGCTCCCTGATGGCAGTTTTATGTAACAACTGTGGGCGTTGGGAACCCGGGCTCTGGCTCAGCCCTCTGCCTGTGGGCGCCTAACAGATGCTAGAGATTCTTCCTCCCACATGTATTTTGAATCTGACTCCTCCTCATCGTTCCTACGACCACAGATTTAGTTCCAGACCTACGTCATGCCCAGACTCTGTGTTGCAGTGGTGTATGTCTTCTATCCTTTCTGAAATACACATCTGAGCAGGTGACTTTTCCTGCTTAGAAACCTTGAATGACGCCCAACTGCCTATGGACACAGCCCAGCTGGTTACCATCGCCTGGAGGACGCTTCATGTTTGGGTCCTGTACGTGTCTTCCAGCTCCCCCCCCCCACCTCCCTGTCCTTTAGCCCCCCGGGAATGTCCTGTGAACACAGCAGGCTCTCCTGAGGCCCCTTTCTTCGTATGTGCTCTGCCCCGTGGCTAGCTTCCTCCTTTCTTCATTTGGTCGATTCTGTGGCATCCTCTAAGACCCACCCATCCTGTCAGAGGCTCTAACTTCTTCAGCCAGAATGAACATCCTCTTGGGTCCAGGTTCCGCTATGTCAGCTCTCAGCCCTTTGAATCCTTATGTGTCTATCCATTTGTTTCTTGGGGTTCACAACCTCCAGGGGTCCATGGCAGTGAACCTGGGTCCCACAAAGCCACAGGATGAATATGCTTCAACTTCCTGGACTGGCCATTTGATTAGAAGATTTGGGGGACATCTTTATTAAGACAGACAGGACAATGCTTAGGAGCATCCATGTTCACTGGAAGCGTGGAGAAGTGTTTTGCTTTTGCAGAGTGCACGTTGTGCTGTTCCCACTTTCCCTGTTTTCTGCCTTTACGGCTCTTTACTCTCAGGCAGCAGCCCTTTCTGTCTCTTGCATGCGATTCCCCAGCCTCCTGCTCACTCCCCTGCCCTGCCCTGTACCACTTTGCAAATAACCAGGCGAGCAAACACGTGAGTTTTCTTCCTTTGGAAAGTGGAATTGGATTTTTTTAACTAGACAGTTCTCTCACCCTATTTACCTAAAGGATGTACAGAGCTACCGTAATAGGTGTGTATTATAATTCTGTTTGGAAGTGAAAGCAGCATTTGTGACACTTAGCATTTGGTGAGATCTGTAACAAGAAAGTGCAACTATCACAGATCAGAATTCCTACACCCGCAGAGCTGGAGACGGTTCAGCTCATTGGTGCTGTAAGCTGAACCCTGTGCCATCACCCGGCTGTGTCACGGCCCCCGATGGCCAGCTTTGCAGTTGTCTTTGGCTACAGTGGTTTTGCACTGGTGGTGTATAAAGGTTACGGAGCAAAAAGAGGGAGATTTCTTCTTTCAGAAAATGTATTCCTGGGTTCCTGATATTTGTTCTCTTATCTCAGTTCCCCACTCCTTACCTCAAAGCCCAGCAATGAGTGAGAAGCTTTAGTGGTATAATGGAAGAGACTGAATTAGGGATAAATTTGGTGTCTAGATAGTTACACACACTTAGAATGGTAGATAGATACCCCTCCTCCTCTTTCTCATTCAGTAACCTTTGAACAATGCTAGTAAACAATGCCATTGTAGCCAGTGACAGCTGGAAACCTGGCCCTTGGGGCTGAACACACACACACACACACACACACACACACACACACACTCACAAATATTACTCATATATTTCATTCAGAAAATACTGAGTGCTCACAATGTGCCAACCTTGTTCTTGGCATGGGAATCTGACACTGATCCATTCCGACCCTCCCCCTGATGTCATGAGGGTCACATATAGCCGCAGAAACAGAAGATAAGCACACCATCCGCACATAGTGAGTTCCCATTGCAGTAAACACCGTGATGAACCTTGGTAGACAAGTTGGAGGGAGAGGAGTCAGATGGCCCATCCTCCCAAGGGACATCTCTGGTGAGAAGTCTGGGAAACTGAGTCTCTAACATAAGACAACTTGCAGTTTGCCTCTAGGTTTGCCCAGTGGGCAGGTGAGAGTATGTGCAGGCGGGAAGGTAAAGAGGGAGATGAGAGAATAGAGTGAGTTTACATCTTCCTTAAAACATGGTCCTGAGATCCATGGGAGACTGTGTTTGGTAGAAGCTTGGTGCTTAGAGCAGAGGTAAGTGCACAAGGGAGGGGAAAGCTGGCCTGCAGTGGAGAGGAAGTGAGAAGATGGAAAGGATGGGCCTCAGTCTGGGCCAGTAAAGCCTGGAAACCGTAGGACACGAGGTGCTGGTGGCGGACGGTGCTTTTGGAAGCTGCCAGGGGAATGGTTTAATTATGAAGCCAAACAGGGTGGACATGGAGCTGGGTGAGTTCTGCTGAAGGACTCACATGGTCTTGGCCAGGAGGGTGGAGAGTAAGAGGGAAGGGGCAGGAATTGCTGCATGCCCGGGGCAGGAGCCTGCAGAAGGGCCAGTGGACAGGCCAGAGTGTGATGCCAGCCACGCCTGGAAGAGCAGCTTCATGCTTGATGCGTGAGCCAGCACAGTAAGGTGAGGTTGCATGTGGGGCCCGTCTCCACAGCAGCTGTGGGAGCCCAGCCGTGCCCTCCCGTGGTGGGGAGGCTCGGCTCTCACCGACAGTGTGCGGCAGGCTGCAGAGAAAGCACGTGGAAGCCTGGAATCAAGGTCCTGTCTCGGATGGCAGATGTCCCAGGATGGCAGCAATGGGGATGGGGAAAAGTTGCCTGTTTCTTGGGGTTTGCATTTTTCTCATGATTAGAGATGCAGAACATCTCTTCATATACCTGTTGGCCATCTGTATGTCCTCTTTGGAGAAATGTCGGTTCAGATCTACCCAATTTTCTTTTTTTTTTTCTGTTGAGTTATATGAGCTCTTTATACATTTTGGATGTTAGCCCCTTCTTATATATATGATTTGCAAATATTTTCTCCCATTCTCTAGGTTGCCTTTTCCTTTAGTGGATGGTTTCTTTGCTGTGCAGTATGCTTAGTATTTTATACATGACACCATTTTGTCCTCCCAGTGTCTGTGGCAGGTTACTTACCTCCACTTACAGATGGAGATCCTGAAACAGAAGACCTGAGACGCTCGGGGATTTTCCCCAAGCACTCCCTAGGTTCCGGCGGACCCTCAGTTCTAACCAAGGTCTGATCGATTCCTATTTCAGTACCTTTAATCGTAGGCCAACCCACTAAAACATGAACTCATTATACCTTTAGGTCATCACTGAGTGGTCTTCTCACATCATCCTTTAGGCAGCACCAGGAGTCCCTGGCAGCCGAGAGAGAGAGGCGGCGGCAGGAGAGAGAAGAAAGGTTGCAGAGAATAGAACGGGAAGAAAGGAACAAGTTCAGGTAAGAGAATTTTCCAATTTCTAAGATAATGAATTGATATGAAAGTGCCTGCCTTCACAGCTCTGTATGATTAATAATGGTGTTATAGAGTTAGGGCCTGCTGGCTGCCAGACAGGGCCAGCTGGATGGGGCCTGCCAGACGGGGGGAAGGACCGAGGGAGGTTGGCTGGCTGTGGGAAGTTGGCTGTGGGAGCGCACTGACCACCAGGGGGCAGCTCCTGCGTTGAGCATCTGCCCCCTGATGGTCAGTGCACATCATAGCAACTGGTCGACCGGATGTTCTGGTCATTCAGTTGTAATGGTTGCTTAGGCTTTTATATATATAGATATGAATAACCCATACACAATAGTTTGGTGAAGGCCTGGGAGGGGTGGGTGCGGGGTAGAGGGGATGAATGAGGAAAAAAACGTACAAAGGGGACAAACACACAAAGTATTGTTGTGATACTTTCAACAATAAAGACAAATTAAAAAAAAATAAAGCAGAATAACCAGAAAAAATTACCCTATGTAAAACATATTTTTAAAAAAGATAAAGTTGAACTAATTTTAGTGAAAAATAAATTAAGGACAGAGAACCTAATTGTCTTAAATTAACTTGCTATTTCCCCCTAAACTATTCATGTTTTATTCATATTCTATTGGATGCCTAAAAGAAAATGTTTTTTTCACTTTCTGGTTTGCTTTTTGTTCCCTGTAGCAATCTTTAATTTTTAAATAAAACCAATAATCTTCCCCTACAGGGTAAAGAAAGGTCATTGTGCTGATTACTCCCAGGACATTGTCCCCCAGTCTCCTGGTCTCTGTTCAGCTCCAGGAATATGTCCCTGTGTGTAGCCCACGCCAGGTTCCAAGTCTTAGCCTGTGTGGCTGCTGAGTCCAGTGTTGCTCAGTTTTCAGCCAGGTCACCTGTTCTCCCATCCTCACCTCCAGTCACTCCCCTGCCCTGGGCTTCATGCTGTGCAGCCCTTTATGGAATGTGCCGAGTCTGTCCTTACACATCTCATTCCTTCCATTTATCCTTTGCTCCCTCCTTTCCCTCCTTCCTACTTGCCTTCTCCTTATCTCTCCCTTCATCTTCCCAGTCACCTCTCCTATAGCTTCTATATTCTTCTTCTTTTCATTTCTCTCCCCATCTCCATTTCCTGTTGCCTCCATTCAATTTCTTTGGCAAACAATCTTCCCATCAATTCCTCCCAGTTACACCTACAAAGAATGTAGCGCATTGTTAGTGAGGCTTTACAGGTTCAAGAACTTCTTTGTCAGCAGCCAGGAAGAGTATGTGTAATTGTAGAAATGATCAAACTATGAGCAGAGCTGTGAGGTTGCCATAACTGTCACTCACTACTATGTGAAAACAAATACCCCATGTCTGTGTTGAAATGCTGATCCTGGCTTCGGTAAGACTGGGTTAATGGGCTTCGTGAAGTAAGCCAACATCAGCCCCCATGTGATCGGGTGGCATGCCCCGAGCTGTCAGGTTTCTACCACGTGATACATGGAAATGCCAGACCTGAATGAACCCTTCTCACGATGTAGCTCTTGGGGGTGTCTCTTTTGGAAAGACCAATTTCTAAAAACCACTTGAACAGGTTAAAGGCTTCCTGTGTCTGGGCTTTCTGGGAGATTTGCATAAATAGCAGCAGAGAATCTTGCTGAAACACCTGGAAAATTTAGAGATTAGCTTGCCCATCTAAAGATTTTGATTGAAAACCTCTGAAAACAGGTCCAGGGTCCTGTCTCTTCTGCCCCTCCGGTCTCTTCTGCGTCACTGCATGCACCAAAAATCGTGGACAAGTGTGTAGAGCTCCGAAAACTCCCCGGTGTATAGAGAGCAGAAGGTTTGGGGGAGGAGACTCGCATTCAATGTCCCACCTAACCAGTGAAAGTTTACCGTTTTCCCTCCGCTATCACCTGGCTCACACCCCAAAACCCAGGGGCACGTACCAAGTGTGCATTGACAGCTCTGGGAGGAGGCCCCTCTTTCTGGGCTGAAGGGCGGTAAGAGGAATTCCTAAGAGTCAGAGAGTGGAGAAACTCTGTTTTTTCATATTTTCTCCTTCTCTCCTACCCCAGCGTCTAAGCAATATTGTTTTAGAAGCCCCTGTATAGCAGCAGTGTCTAGGCCAGGGGTGGGCAAACTTTTTGACTCGAGGGCCACAATGGGTTCTTAAACTGGACCGGAGGGCTGGAACAAAAGCATGGATGGAGTGTTTGTGTGAACTAATATAAATTCAAAGTAAACATCATTACATAAAAGGGTACGGTTTTTTTTTTTTTTAGTTTTATTCATTTCAAACGGGCCGGATCCGGCCCGCGGGCCGTAGTTTGCCCACGGCTGGTCTAGGCAGGTGCCTAAGAACTCTGACCAGAAGAGCTGTGACCCTGAGAACAATAGGCACATCACCATTCTTCTCTCTGTGTCCTGCTGCGTTGCCTGGGTGTGGATGGAGTCACTGAAAGTATGCAGCAGGGCAGGGAAAAGAAAGCCCAAGCTTTCTGGCTGGAGGACCAGGACAGGAGACCAACCCAAGGAAGCCAGGAAGTGATAGGAAAGCATAGAGAAATCAAGAGAGTACTGATTTGTGCAGGGGTGGCTCACAACCTAAACAGCAAGCCACAGACTGAGAACTAAGTACTGACGAACCACTGCTCAGGTCCTAGACTGGCCACTGGGTGGTACACATAGGGCTTGATTTCAATAGCACTAAAATATTTTTAAATTGAGCTAATATTGGAACTAATATATAAAGACAGTCAGCACTTGTAGGCTGAACCTAACTTAGTTGTTTGCCTTCTAAAGGAAAACAAAAGAAAACAAGCAAGGTTCTTCATAGAATGTAAATAAGACCCAGAGTCTCTTTGCAAAATATTTAAAAATATGCAGAATGCAATCCAAAATAACTTGTCATACAAAGAGCCAGGGCAAATCTTAACTCAGAAGGAAAAGAAAACCAAAATATGCTAACCACAAAAGGATGCTGTCTTTATCAGACAAAGACTTTAAAGCATTTATTATAAACAGGCTCTAAGAAGGAAGGGCAAATGATTTTGAAACAAATGAAAAGTGAAGTCTCTGCAAAGAAATAGGAGATATAAAGACGAACTAAGTGGAACTGAAAAACACAACCACCAAAACAAAAAAATTCATTGGTTGGGCTCGATAGCTGAATGGAAATGAAGAAAAAAATCAAAGACTTTTAGATAGAACAGTAGAAATTATCCAATCTAAGAATCAAAACAAAACATTGAAAAAAATGAACAGTTCCTCAGGGACCCATAGAATAATTCCTAAATGTGTAGCATTCATGACATTGGAGTCCTACAAGAGTACATAGTGCATTGCAATACCTAAGTCATTATGTTACAATATATATAATATATATGACATGTAACAAAAAATATATATCCTAACCAGAATCTCTCTGTGTTCTTAAATAACAAATGAGATCCATTTGGTACCAAGGGCAAAGAGTGAACAGCTATGAGCATGGTCTCTGAAGATGGATTGTCTGGATCTAATTCTCACTCTGTCAATAGATTAGATAGATAGATAGATAGATAGATAGATAGATAGATAGATAATAGATAGATAGATGATAGATATAGATAGATGATAGATATAGATAGATGACAGATAGATAATAGATAGATGATAGATATAGATAGATAGATGTAGATATAGATAGATATAGATATAGATAGATGATAGATAGATACATGATAGATGATAGATACATGATATAGATAGATAGATATAGATAGATGATAGATATAGATAGGTGATAGATAGATATAGATAGATATAGTTAGATGATAGATAGATAGATAGATAGATAGATAGATAGATAGAGATAGATAGAAAATATTAAATAAACCTTGTCCAGGAAGGAATGCTGATCATCAGGACAGACCACACACAACTATTAATTATAATGATGGCAGTTTCTTCCTAAAAGTCTGAGGATGTGAATGAAAAGAAATTCAAAAGAGGAAACAGGAAGAGCTTTATAAAGTAGTCCCTGGGAACACCGAAATGGCTGACCTTTCACCACCCATTACATTGATTTAAGTTGTTCATGCTCCTGTGCCTTTTCCCTTGCATTCCATCTAAAAGTTGTTCCTTATCTGCTGCTATTTTTATTGAATATGCTCTTAAACCTCTTGGGTTATGGAAGAATTTCTTTCTAGTATGAAAAGTGATGAGGATGGATGTTTATAAATGATAACAAATTTGAGCCTCTGTTGCTTTTTCTCCCTCTCCTAACTTGTTTCAGTTGCTTTGACTCACTGCTCCTTTCTATCCAGTTGCCAGGGCATCGAGGGGTAAAATGCTCAAACTATGTTAGGCCCAGTGTAGAAAACCATAATGCCAGAATTCTCCAGGAAAATAAATGGTGTATTGGTAGGTGACTGATCACACAATTAAGCTTAGGTTCACATTGGGACCTCACCAGCAGGAATAGAAAAACAAACACTAAAATTGGACAAAATTGGGCATCTCGTGGGTACAGGCTAAAGAGAATGCATGGAGCGAGAGCCTCCAGGCATCCCTGCAGAGAGCCAGAATGTGAGGGGCGCAGAGAGAGATCCTGGGCTGTGGGAGCAACGTCCAAGCTGGGGAGCGCAGCGACCCTCAGAGCCACTCAGATTTAATTCTTGAGGTGGAAGTTGTGGCGCTACCAGAGCTTGACTGAATGTGAATCGCCTCTGAAAGCTATGGCTTGCTTGTCATGGCCATACTTTATTTATGTATTGTTTCACCTTTAAAAAATATTTTTCTTCTCCCTTCCCCCACTAGGCATGCATTCTTCTTTCCAAAGAGTAATTGGTCATGTCCGTGAGTGAATCCAACAATCCTATGATTTCGGACTCCTGTGACTTTATAGGAGATCCATTATATTTAGTGCTTTTAAAGCATAGTCTTTACCCTTGGTTTTTAAAAATTCAACTACAGCCACTTTCCATTTCCAAGGCAATAGTGGGCTTTCATTATATACTGTTAGCAATCTCATGAGCAATAATTCTGTTCTTTTTCTTCCCTATTTTGTTTCGTCCACCTATTTTCAGTAGCCGAGAGTATTTAGACAAAAGAGAGGAGCAAAGACAAGCAAGAGAAGAAAGGTTTGTATCTCTCTTCTTCCCCATGTAACTAAAATGCATGTGACTTGGCACTCCTAACCAAGCATGCCGTGGGGACTGTGTGAATTAAAATATCACAGCTTTCCCTAAGAGACCTGAGACCTTTGGTAATTGGCGTTTTGCAGAATAAGTGTCAGGTAATCTACATTTTTGCAAGGAAGTACAGGTTTCTGATTTAGTGTCATCATGGTGTGAAATATATGTCTGCTCCAAAATTCTTCTACAAGTGAGCACATTGATTTGTATATTGACCTGTGGAAGATATTTCCCATATCCCGTGCCACCACTACTGAACCTGCGTGAGGTGTCCCTGCTGCATGTTTCCAGGTCACATGCTCAGCATACGGGCAACAAATATTTGACCACACGCGCTATGCCGGGCACTGGCTGGGGGACCCACACCCACCTGAGACACTCACCGAATGTGCCTATCACTTCCCTGTCTCCCTCCTGAACAGCACTCAGGTTCCTGGTGGCAGGAACCATGCCTGGTTTTCCTGGGTTGTCCCAGTGCCTGCCACAATCCTTTGCACATATTCGACACTCCGGAAAGATGCATGGAATAAATGAGCAAATAAACGGACAGCTTTCTTTCAAATATCTAAGCTGTAAACCAGTTTTTATAATTTCAGTGGCAACATACTTTTAACCCCATTAAAAGATACAAAGTTAATGTGCTCACTGTCTGATTAATTTAGATAAGCATGTTTTGGGAAGTAGAACAGTGAAAAAGACCAATGTTTGCCCTGTAGCCCTGCAGTTATTCCGTCCACCACCAGGTGGGGTTACTGCACGGAGAAATGGAAATGCTGGTTTCAGACCAGAGCCAGCTGGGAACCTAACAATATTTGAACGTTGCCAATAAAAAATGGAATCGTGCTCATTTTTTTTTTTTAGACACCATCAGCTAAATAGGTCAGGACAGACTGGGGCATAGAGGAGTGGAGTCTGTCTATGTTCAATTTAAAAATTAGGTGCTTAGGTCAGCCTCATGAATAAAACATTTGATTATTGCCATCCTCATCACCAGTTGTGGACAGCAAATGTAGCGTGAAAGATGCTGGTAAAGAAACACACTTCTCTTTCTCTAATTCGTACCATTTAAAAAAATACATTTATTTTTATTGACTTCAGAGAGTAAGGGAAAGGGAGAGAGAGAAACATCAGTGAGAGATAATCATTGATCGGCTGCCTCCTGCACAGCCCCCACTGTGGATCGAGACCACAACCCGGGCATGGGCCCTAACCAGGAATCAAACTGGCCTCCTGGTTTATAGGTCGACACTTAAGCACTGAGCCGCGCTGGCCAGGCCATACCATTTTTTATTGAATCAAACTGTGACCTCCTGGTTTATAGGTCGACGCTTAAGCACTGAGCCGCCCTGGCCAGGCCATACCATTTTTTATTTTTTTTTTACATTGGTGGACATGATATATACTTTTACTGGAAATGCTGTTGACTTTGTGCCCAAGCTTAAGAAATCCAATTTTATCTTGTTTTTTAGCATTCCCTCCAGATGTTGCACTTTTTTGAGGTTTTGGCCGCATGGCTGTCAGGCTCAACCGGCACAGGCACGGCTGGAAAGCACTTGGGGAGGTGTCAGGTCTGACTGGCTCAGACTGACCCCAGAATTTTCCAAACCACCAAAGGCTACCTGTTCCCGGATATTATTTACGGTTCTTTTCCCCAAAGCAGAACATCACTTACGCCTGGAGAATGTGTGCAGAGGAGTTTGCCACTCCTCTCACTCTGGCCCAACATTCCCTCTCTGTCACTCACCTGTCTGGGCCTCTTAGCTGGGCAGGAGCGGGCTCTCTGTGGCCCCGTGGGAGGGTCTTTCCTTACAGCCCACCTCTGTTTACACGGAGGTTTGAGGGAAACATCCAAACATTTTCCTCTGGTTTGGACCTGCCACTTTGGTTCACCTGCCTCTTGAATTAGCTGCTGAGGATGGGGGTGAGGGAGCGATGCTTTCATCCCTGTTTGGAAAGGTGCTGGGGGTGAGCCAGGAAAAGATAAGACTTGCAAGTATAACGGACTTCAGAAATAGATGGGGAAGCTGGTGGAGGTGAGAGGTGGAAAGAGGTTCAGAAATAAGGACAAAGACTCCGTCTGTTAACTCTTCCTGAGAGAAGCGCGCATGTGTGTGGGGTCCGTGTTCCTTACTTCCCAGACGCTTTTCATTTTGTAAAACTGAAACGTTCTATCCATTAAACAAGTCCCCATGTCCCCTTCCCTGCCATTCTTATCTACCACATACACACCCTTGGGACAATTCAGATTAAACCTGTGACTCTGCCCATGGCTTCTGGATCCCGAGGATGGCACCCGTGAGACAGGAATAGTCTTCGAGTCGTATATACCCAGCCTCTGAGTCAGGAACCCCTGGGGTCTCCCAGGAAATAGGGTGAGTCCTTTGGCTGCTAGCACATGCCTGCCAGCCTCGCTGCCCACGGACGGGGTTTGCAGAGGCCAGGACCAGGGCCGGACCCAGTGAAGTGTGAAGGTCATAAATGGGCCGTCCTCCTGGCTTTGTTACTGTTCTCTCTGCCCTCTTCTGATCTTGCTGAGCACAACTTTCCTGCTCATGATCTCCAGTCTCTCGGGCTTGTGCAGGTCCCCTAATTTGCATGTCATTCCTTGCCTGTCCCTTTCTCCTGTCGCAGGCTCGGACTCACAGACTCCTGGGCCGCAGCCTTTCTGGCCTTGCATTCACCACTATCTCATTAAAATATGCCTCCTAAGGCCTCTGACCCTCAAGACCACTCTCTCCCAAGATTCCCATCCCCTCCAAGCCCAGTGGTTTTCCCTTGCTGGTCAGAATTAAGTTCAGAAATACTTTTCTTTGGTCTCCTCTCCTGCCTTTTGAGAGGTGACCTCGTTGGCAAGGAAAGCCCAGAGTTTCCAAAGCTTTCTCTCTGGGCCCAGCGTCTCCACCCTTCATGGTAAGGCAGCTGCCCTCAGAGCCAACCTCAGACATTTATATATATGCAGACCTACCGCACCTTTTATCAGCGATTCATGTGCGAGTCAGCTGCCTCTCCAAGAAAGTGAAGTGGGTGCGTTCCCCCATTGCACCCCGTGCTTCAGGGGACCTCTGCAGGTGGGGTGCTGGCCCTGCAGGTGGGGTGCTGCCCTGCACGGTTCTCATTGCGCACTTTGCTCACTTCCCGTCAGCTGACAAGTGCAAGGCACCGAGGGAAAGAACAAAGAAGGGTAATCTTCCTGTTCTCAAAAATCCTATTATCTGCTTGTTGAAAACAGCCATGCACATGTGAAAAGATGACTAAGTATGCCAGGCAGTAAATGTAAAATGCCATCTGAGCTGAATGGGCTACATATCCGACATGAGTTCCGAGGCAAGGCCCCCGATCGCTTCCAGCTGTGGTGGCCAAGGCAGCCTCATGGGAGGCGTGCGTGTGAGCCTGGCCCAGGGCGGGCTGCCGCTGGACTGGCAGGGAGGAGGTGATGATGACAGATGGGAGCCACGCCCACCTTAAGGATGAATGAAGAAGTGCGTGCTTTCTAAATGCATTTTTTACAGGTCTCGTATAGGTGCCCCACCTTTCTTATCCAGGTGAAATGGGAGTGCCATCTGGGGGTGATGGTGGGCCAGAGCTGGGCGCTTGCCTGTTGGGGGGAACTGAAGCAGTACATCTGGGTGGATGTGAGGGAGGGTCTTGAATAAGCTGTTTCAAAGTTTAGTGGTGGGTAAGATAGTCAGAACCCGGCTACAGCTGGGCCCATAAATTTATTTCTGAACAAATAATGGTGGGTAAAATTAGCAGACATCTGGAAGAGGCACATATTTCAAAGTTATTTTGGTCTGATCTATAAAGCGCACCATGCGGAATATGATTGGTAGCTGGTCTTAATAAACAGTTAGTGGGTTCTGCCTGCCTGAAATGCAAAACAGATGTATCTTTGTTCTTTTAAACTGACTTTGATGAATAAACTATATGTGACGTCAGGTCCAAGCTATTGGATGTCTGAGTCCGACTCAGAAATATTTTAGAATATAAAAAAGTTTCCATGGTCGACACCGGGAGAACAAAGTGAATTCCAGTCGCATTGCTGTGAGCATTGAAGCAGGTTCAGACATTCAGGGAGGCCTTGGTCCAACACCCCCTTTTGGTATTTGGGGGGCACTGTTTCTCTCTGCCACACAAGGGCACCCTCCCATTTCACAGCTGTGAGCTCCGAGGGTGTGTGGTTTTCAGCTGTCACTGTGGGGCCTTTTTGATGGTCATTACTGTTGTTTTGCTTATTTGTACAAATGTTTCCTAAAAGAGCAAACCAGGATTCTGCAGCCGCGAGCCGGTGTCTGGGGACTGTGTGATGTGGCCACCTCCCGCCCGCCCCCCTCCCCGGCTGTTTGGTTGTGCCTGATGCGGGATGTTTAATCACTAGCGTCTTGGCTTCGCTGGGCGTTCCTGGCAAGCGGGCCCTCCAGCCAGCCCCGCGCTGTGCTCGGCATCAGGAAACCAGCTCTCTCTGCAGGTGTTTCGTCCATAAACAAGCATCAGCCACGGGCTCCTCTTTCTTTTTACGGAAACCCTTTGGAATTTCACTTTCAGATACAAATACTTGGAGCAGTTGGCAGCTGAGGCGCACGAGAAGGAACTGAGAAGCCGGAGCGTGAGCCGGGGCAGAGCTGACCTCTCCTTGGACCTGACCTCACCAGCCGCCCCCGCCCCTCTGAGCCCTGGCCCTTCATCTCTAGACTCACAAGGGGCTCTCCCCGGAGCATCATCCTCCCCGGGAACACCTCAGCATCCCCAAGGTGAGTGCTGGGAGAGGGGAGGGCTCATTAGCACCAGAGGGCTTTTTCAGTAGTAACCATTCCTACGTTCAAATGAACACTGTCAGTCAGCTAAGGGTAGGCTTAGGGGGGACTGCAGCCTGGGCTGCCACAGGTGCAAGAGTGTGTGTGTTCAGACCACGTCCATGAAAGCAAAGTTATTGTAAAGATGATCAGTGTATGGTCATTGAAAAAAAAGTTCCGAAGATAAGACTGACTTTGACATCTCATTTTAAATCATAGGTTTTTAACTTAGTCCTCTAGCATTTGAATGTTATTTCTTTATTGGATCGGCCCCATAAAGTGGCCACTTTGAAATGTTCTTACCCGAGGGATTGTGGGTCTTGTTTAAATTAAACTGATGGAGAATAAAATTAAGCAGTGCAGGCAAAGAAAAATGTGGACCTCGTGAACATAGGCATTAAATGTCGAAGAAGAGAATAAAAAGGAAAATAGTAAAGATTACTGGCACGTGGCATGGGTGGAGGTGCGTGTGTGCAGACAGGCAGGCTGGCCCTGGAAAAATTCCCTGTCACCTTCGCTTTATTTGGGGGGAAACAAGGACATTGTGCACTGCAGCCTCGGAGCATCAGCTGCCTTCCTGGCTGCTCTGCACATTGTGGGTCCGTTTTCTTTCACTTTAGCAGAGGGGGTGGTTCTGGGCACAGGCGCCTCCACGGTGCCTGCTGGTTAACCCTGCAGCCAGCATCGGTGGTCTTACTGAGTATTGGGGTTTGCAGCCTGACAGAGACTCAGCCAACGGAGACAACAGAGACATGCAACTCTTAACTCTAGGAGGGTTGCCTAAATATGGCGTCAAGTTTAATTTAAACAAGGCAGGACTCCGTGACCTCAGCAGAACTGGCTGTAATGGAACAGAACTGTCTGTGCGATTCTCTGCTGGCTCTCCCGACCCCAGCTGCTCTGCCAGGCAGGCTGCCGCACCGGGGCTTTGCATCTCGGCCAGTCCTCCTGGTCCCCGAGCCGCGGAAGACCGTCCCAGGCAGATGGCTCGGTCATGGATGAGTAATGTCGGTCTTAAAATGTTGAGACTCTGAGAATCAGGAAAAATGACTGTTCTGTGACAACTCCGTGCTTCCAAAACCCTGCCTGATATCACTGCTCTGACTGAACTGGCAATATGAAAAACACTTCCCTGCAAAGGAATTCTGCACTTAATCTTGGGACCTTTCATGCTAATTGTTGTACCTCCAGAAGTTTGCAGAATGGTGGTCTCAACTGTGAAATACAGAGAGGCCTCAAGCTGAGAGGGAATTGTCAGTATCTCTAAATAGCCTTTATCCTCAAAAATTTGAATCTAGTTGATATCTGTGGCAAAAAGAGAGTTCCTTAAATATTTTGTCCAGTTAGAGTCAAACTGGAGGCTGTTCTAGCCAATGAAAAAGAACATTTTAAACTTCAGTAAGGACACAGAAAATAGTGTTTTGAGTACATACAATATGAAAACATAAAGTTATTTCAGTATGCTTTCAGAAAGATGAAAAGCAAATGTCAGCCCAGACCGTGTGGCTCAGTGGTTGAGCATTAACCTATGAACCAGGAGGGTTCATGCCTGGGTTTCAGGCTCGATCCCTAGTAGGGGATGTGTAAAGGGTAGCTAGATGATTGATGAGTCTCTCTCATCATTGGTCATGTTTCTATCTCTCTCTCCCTCTCTAAAATCAATATCAATATATAT